AAAAAAAAAAAAAAAAAAAAAGAACAAAAAACAAAAAACCACACACACACAAGGAGGGAAATTAGCTCATCGATCAGTTTCTCTTTCAGTGTCAGTCTCCACTCCTGGATTTGCTAATTGGGTGGTCAAGTCTTTCTCAATTGCTTAGCATTTGGAAGGAAGAAGTGAAGTTGATCGAGTAGACACTGAAAAAGAGTATAAAAAAAAAATGTCATGAGAATGTCTTTATTAAACAAGTGAAAGACAAATTTCAGTTAAAACTAATTCATTTTGGCATTGCAAGATACTCTGAAAAATAAAAACTAATTCATTTTGGCATTGCAAGAAAGTCTGAAAAATAAAATACTACCATAAAAATACGTTCTGTATAAAAAGGATAGGTTAATTTGGCAGTTAGATATAAGAAATAAGTTAATGAATTCAAAGATATTATAACACAAACTAAGAATTCTAGCAGTAATTTGCATTCTACTGTCTGCTTTGAAACAGAAAACAGAAGCTAGAAAGTAAAAGAAATGAAGTATTACCATTGCAGCACGTGTTTTATGTCTTCTTTTCCCCCATATTATCACCTTGGACCAGATAAGATAGATGGAATCAGTGAAGAAGCAGTAACTGCAGCTGCATCCTTTAGGTGTCCAAGAGTTTCCACTTCAGCAGGTGCTGGTAGATTTGAGAAATCACATTCGTTTACATCATCCATTTTGCCCTCTAGGAACATTACCACCATGGACATTGAAGGCCTCTTAGCATATTCACCTTGCAAACACCACGCCGCAACTTTCATCATCTCCACTACCTCTACTGCATTTGATTGCATCTCCTCATTGTACTTATCCACTAGATCCAGAAGTTTACCATCCTCAACTTTCCTCTTAAAAAGGCTCACCAAATGGGCATCCTCTTCTGGCAGAGATCGTTCAACATTTTTTCTACCACATAAAATTTCCAGAACAACAATGCCAAAGCTGTATACATCTACTTTTTCTGTGATTACTGAGTTCAACCATTCTGGGGCCATATAACCCGGTGTTCCCCTCATCGTTGTCACAATTTGGCTTTGGTCTCTCCCTACTAGCTTAGACAACCCGAAATCAGAAACCTTGGCATTGAAACTTTCATCCAAAAGGATGTTTTGGGGTTTGATATCCAAGTGAATTATTTTCTGCCAGCATCCCTCATGGAGATATGCTAGACCATTGGCTATCTCTCGAATGATCTTCCTTCTGCATTGCCAACCAAGAGCAAGCGCTTTGTCTCTGCAGAAGATCCATCGATCCAACGACCCGTTACACATGTACTCATAAACCAAAAGCATACGTGATTTCTCAGCACAGAACCCAACCAGTCGTACCAAGTTGAAATGGTGAATGCTTCCTATGGTCTCAACCTCAGCTATAAATGACTTCTTTACAGGACCAAAACTATCAAGGTATTTCACTGCAATTTGAGCACCACAAGGTAATGTTCCTTGAAAAACACAACCAAACGCTCCCTCACCTAGCTTGTTGCTAAAGTTGTTGGTTGCAATCTTTAACTCTTCATAAGAGAATCTCATGGGTGTTCCTGAGATGTGACCCAGATAATCCTCCTCAACATCCTTTGGATCCTTTTTTAATTGTAGTAAAAAGACAATGGAGATAAGAAACCCAATAAAAGTGGCTCCTAGAGTGATTGCAAGTATAACTCCCACATTGCTTCTTTTCTTTCTCTGTGGAAAATGTCCTGGAGAGCTCTGCACCTTTAAAAACACAGATGAATTATAATATGCATCCACTTCTCTTTTGAATGACAAAGCTTCAGATCCAAAGAAGCACAAGGTAGATGGTACAGGACTAGAACCATAACTTCGAAAAACAGAATACTTGCAAGAACAGTTGTTTAAACAGGCTTGCTTGCAGCTCTCGATGTCTGTTATATTAGAATTATTTGGAAGGTAGCTAGCAGAGGCAGAAACATGCTTGATCTCCAGAAGACTTTCATGGGAAGAAGACTTACAAGATATTGGTAGATTAGGAGAACACCCAAGATCTGGATGATCAGAATTAATCATATTGAAGTGCGCTGTATTGTTTTCATCTGGTTCTGGGCAATTGCATCCTCCTCCCGCTGAACAAATTCCATATTCTCCGCACACCAGGGGATAATCACATCCATTGAGTTCATCATTAAACAAATCAGCGATTTCCTTCCATTCTGATTCTACCCAACCAAACAACCTTAAGTGCCCATCAGATCCTAATTGTATAAAACTACCTCCATCCCATGGAAAATCGAAAGGACGAAAATTAGGGTCACTGAATATAGCATAAAACTGCGACAGTTTGTTTCTTTGAGACCCATTGGATTGGTAATAGTCTAGGGTGGCATCTGACCCTATAGAAGCAACAAAATAACCATTAGAATTATTAATTGAAAATGAATACAAACCCTCTGACCAGTCTGTGGATGACATATTAGCTTTCAGTTTCAGCCCAGAAACAAGCCTCTGTCCGGAAACTAAACAGTCTGTTGGATGATCAAAAGACTGCCAAACCGTCTTATTGTTTCTATCAAACAGTATAAGGTTACCCTGATGAGTTAACTTCATTCCTGAAACAAATTTACGTGTTGTGTTTGTAGACCAAATCAGAGTGTCATGATCATCTCGCAGTGTTAAATCCCCTTCTTGAGAAAATTGCAATTTTGCCCCAAGTCCAATCGGCTTGTTTCGGTTAGCAGACCACACCATTTGTGTAGAAAACTCGAAGCTACTGCTAAGTCTCAATGAGCGGATGGAAATAGCAAAGAGGCAGGGAGTTCCTTCAATTTTGCAGTGGAAGCCACAAAAAAAATTCCCATTAATCAAGATAGGTCTCTCCTCCCAAAAACTGAACTCAGTTCGGAGGTCGTTAGTCCAAGAGACGGGAGGCTTCACAGTTGATCGATAATACAAATCTTCACCATTTGTCAGAAGCAACGATCTTATGAACAGAGATAGATAGGCAGCAAGAAAGCAGACAGCTTTCCCTCGCCCACCAACTACCATTGCTTTTATAATTGATTGCTCTAATATTATATAATTGAGCTGCAAGACAAGTTAAATGAATTAATAAGAAACAAAATACAAAGCAGGAAGCACCAGTATGGTAGTCTGTAGATTTCCTTTTTCCTTAAATGTAAACTTCGCTCAACACTCAATGTGTATACTTCAAATTCCTTAGTCATAACAAAAAAATAAAATAAAATTTAGAAACTTAATTTTGACAAGTTTGGAATAAATAAATTAACTTTGAGATTTGATCATATTTTCTATTAAAGTAAGAAATAAGAACAAAAAATAGCTATTACCATTTTTTCCCTTAAAATAATTATTCGGTACGTCTCTCGTAATCTAAAACAAAATTATCAGCTCAAAATTAAACACATCCATACCTCAACTAATACTAAAAAGCTATGGTCCAGAAATTTCATTTTCTTTTGTTATTATTATATTGGAGGAAATTTTATGATTAAGGAAAAAAAAAAATGTAAACTCACCCTTGCAAATTACAACAGAGAGACCCAGGCCAAATTTTCTTCACTTCTCCTGCATCCTTGTCGATGGAGACATATGCTAGACCCTTGGCGCACTGCCAACCAAAAGCAAGCGCTTTGTTTCTGCAGAATATCCATTGAATTCAGCTTTGCAAACTTATAATTCTGAGTCAAATTCCTTAGTCATAATACAAAAATAAAGTAAAATTAAGAAACTTATTGGACAAGTTTAAAATAAATAAATCTTAAAATTGATCATTTTCTACTAAATTAAAAAATAAAAAAATAGCCATTGCCATTTCTTCCTTTAAAAATGATTATTCTGTGCATCTTTCATAATTTTAGACAAAATTATCAAGTCAAAATCAAACGTATCTATATCTCAACTAACTAATACTAGAAAGCTACAGGACAGAAATTTCCTTTTCCTTTTCCTTTTCCTTTTCCTTTTCCTTTGTAATTATATTGGAGGAAATTTTATGA